CCCCCCCCCCCCCTTCTCCTCAATGCCGAAGCACGGGGGCCACGAGGAACGTTCTCGCCCATGACGCACCGCAGCGGTGCTGACATAAGAATGTCATTCAAGGATAAAACCCTGCGCGATAGGGACCTCAAGGCCTAAATGTCTCGTGGCTGCTGTAAGTGCGTGGTCGAGGCTAATGACTACAAACAAAAAAACTGCTGCCTCTGCTGCTGCTGCTACTGCTGTGCATGTGTGTGCTGCTTGACAACCATCCATAGATGGACACACGCATAAACCCGCAACGCTTACACCTTTGCTTCTTCCAAGCAAGTGCTGCAAACATGAACAACGGCAGGCAGCACTCGCCTTGAACCGCTCTCCGCGGTATTCCTCCTCCCCGAGCTTATACTTCTGAATCATGGTGCCCATGGCCCCGTCAAACATGACGATCCGCTCCTGAAAGAGGCGGTACAAGTACGCCATGGTGCTGTCCTTGCCGCGCTCGAAGTACGGGTAGTTGGCTACCTCGCCCTTCGGCTCCTCCACAAAAGGTCGAAGCACCATGGTTCCCTTTGTGTGCAAGCTGCACTGTTCGTTGCTGAACCTTTAACCCGACGGGTGTCGGATGATTGGGGGGCAAGGCAGCACGGAAAAAAACACACCAGGTGGGGCGTGGTCAGCACGAACAACAAATAAAATGCTCGAAATAAGAAACCAATCCTAACCTCTTGTAGGCATTTGCCCAATGACTTCCGCGGGAATCCTTCGCACCTCTCCTCGCTTCCACGATCCCACAGTCGTTGTACCTGTTGCTCTCTCTCTCTTCAGCCTCGAGTGCCGCACGGCAGTTGTGGCAACCCAGAGCCGCCGTCGGCAATGGCAGGCAAGGCGGTGGAGGTGACGCAGGAAACAGGTACCCCCCCCCGGATCGTCCCACGATACCCCCGGCATCTCTCTCTCAAGTGTGTTTTGTCTGCCTGGTGCACCTTCAAACAACACGTTCGACGAGAGCCGAAGCGACAACAATACAGCTGTAAACCTCCCAAGAATTGGCACGTCACACCTCGTTTTCTTCAAGGCTTGAGCTTCACAGCCACTGAGAAGGAACGAAATAAATCTGTGCTGTATTGGCGCGGCGGACGAAAACAAACAAGCCAGGCCAGGACGCGGTGCAACACAGCACTTCCCAGCAGAGGTAACCTCGCACGGACCACTTCGACTCCTCTTTCGAAGACGACGCCACCCGCTACGCAGAGCACTCTCTTCTGAGAGCGAAAGAAGGTGTGCACCCGAAGCAGCAGCCATGGGAAACAAGGTCTCTCTGGAGAATGAGCTCATCAACCTGAGGCTGACCTCCAAGCAGCAGCAGAGGAGCGCGATCAAGTGCACCAAGAACGAGAACGCGGCGAAGGCCAAGTTGCGAGAGGCAATCAAGGCCGGCAACATCGAGGGAGCACGCATTTACGGCCAGAACGCGATTCGAGAAAAGAATCAAAGTTTGAATTGTCTACGTCTAAGTAGTCGAATAGATGCCGTGGCGTCGCGGCTGGAGACAGCGATCCGGATGAAGCAGGTGACCTTTCTCAATTTTTTCGATTTTCTGTTGACGTGCGTACAGATTTGGTTGGGTGGGCCCCCCGACGATACAATGGCCATCGGGTCGTTCGACTTCTTTCTGTGGAGCCGGCAGTTGGTAACTGCTGTAGTTCAATTATGCTCAAACCCAAACGCTACGCCGTGTTCATGGCTTTGTTCCCGCACCAAGACTTGTGCGTGAGCATTCCTTCGCCCCGGAACAGAGATTGAATGCATTCTTTGGTCCCCTTCTATGCTAAATCTGGGAGCGCGTCTGTAGAATATTTGTCGCAAGGAAACGGCCCGTGTACAGTTTCAAGACTAGAAATTTGATTTCAAAACGAGGATGAGCGCCCGACAGATACGTTCCTCGTAGTCACGAAACGGAATTTACGCTGTTAAGATGATTCATGAAAAGATTGATGATTCCTCAAAACTGGGTAGAATTGTAGGGTGCGGCCTAATTAAAGAAGAGCGCCCAACATGGACTGCTGGGAAAAACAGCAAGACAAGCCGAATCGCACAGCAACTTTGATGTTGCTTGTAGCGTGAAAAGTTGCCACACGAATGCGCACCGACAGCTTTCGATGGCAACGATTCGGTGTTATTTGTACGAGCGGGTAGGCATCCACGCCACGCTCAATAATTCACGACCCCAAACCACATTCCACACCCTTGTTCGATGCGCGGTAGGTAAACAAGTCGATGGAGGGGGTGGTTAAGGGCATGGAGTCGGCCCTCAAGGCAATGGACGTCGAGCGCATCTCGAAAACCATGGACAGCTTTGAGCAGCAGTTCGAAGACATGGATGTACGGGCGGGGTACATGGAGAACGCCATGAGCGACTCAACGGCCATGTCGACGCCCCAGGAGCAAGTGGATGGCCTCATCCAGATGGTAGCCGATGAGGCTGGCTTAGAGTTGGGTGAACAGCTGGACGACGCTGGCCCTGTGTCTAACAAGGTGCCCGCCAAGCCGGCGGCCGCACCGGCGGCCGCGGCTGGCGAGGAGGATGAGCTGGCCAATAGGTTGGCCGCCCTGCGCAAATGAGAACGTATCTCGTTTGCATTGATTGATAGGGCAGCCATCCGTTGCGTATGGAAGGTGTGTCGTTGCGTGTTGGCTGTTTGCAGTATCTGCAAGAGTTAGCTCGTTGCCACGTCGCTGTACTCAGATTTTTTGCTGACGTAAAAATGTTGATTGTGGTCCGCGGTTGGTGAGGCTACCCTGCCGGCTGCATACGTTTGTAGAGTGGACCGGTATCTCTTGTCGCGAGACATGAGAAGGACGATCGATAGACTCGTACAGCACACTCGCATGCACCACAAACTTGCGAGTTTCGTATGCCTTCTTTTGTTTTCCAGCACGTTGAAAGAGACCCGAACACTGCTGATTATTTCGCAGTGAAGCAAGCCAGAGGGCGTGTCCGGTTGTTGTCTTATTGTTGTCTTTGAGTAACCCGCTAAGGCATCGTTGTTGATAGTATGCGTAAGTAGGGACTGCCAGTTGCTGATATTTGAACTCGAGGGTTCGGCTAAAGATGTCTGCTGCAATTCACGAGTGTGAACGGTTGTTCAAGTAGAGTAGTTTTGGTCTGTGGAACAGGTGGACCCGGCAAACGAGCAATGGAATTCACAGGTCCCGCCCCCGTGTAAATGATCGTTTTGTCTTTATACAGTACTAAGATACCCCACCATGCGCATTTTGTGTCTACATCGACTTCTATGTTTCGCTCAATGATGGCACAGAGTATCCCGTATTGCGTCCCGCCCTGTTTGTGTATGTGTGCTTGTCTGCTGACAGGCCTTTGTCATGGCCATCGAGCCAGATTGAGCCTACCTGAATTTCGGGGCCCTGATTGGTCATATACATTTTTGCGGTCTTGAGACCACCAGTCGCTTAAAATCGCGACAAGATGCCCATGTTGTCAAGCTCTCAATGGTTAACATGTGATTTTTTGGTGCAACAATCACACCGTAGATGTTGTGTTCTTGGAGCTCCAGAGCCCTCCAACTGTGTCGTCCGACACGAAGACGCTGCTCCACTTTTATGCCCACCTTTCGTCTAGTGTGTGCACACATGGCCAGTACATACCCATGCGATCCAGGCACGCATTCTGCGGACACACACATGGTCGCAACCTACACACCAGGCAGTTTTCGGCCACCGCCGGCTAGAGGATGAAGCAGACCATGCCCGCTCGAGAACGACACGCATAGGTACAAGCTGCCAGTTGGTGCTTCTCGCTGCTGGCCTGTTCCTTTTTTCACGCGCACCCGGGGTGAGGGCAGCAAGGTAGGCACGGTAGAACCATCAAGCGGCTTGGCAGGCACGAAGGACGAGAGAGGGACGGGCGGTAGTCTAAAATACCAAACATGATTGTAGTGGACCTGGAGATGGGCGGCAGAAGCAGTATGCTGCAGCAGGATCGCTTTTCTTTCTCAGCACCACTCGTGGTTCAAAAGAGGCAAAACACCCGTGATTGAAGCGAGCTTTGTGCCGCGAACGTTTTCAATGCGATTCGACGGGAACGAGCAAGCCACTACGCCAGGTGCATGAAAACCTCTTCTCCCACTTTCACCACAGCTAGCATGGTCCTCGTTGCCCAAGAAAGTATGTCAATCATTAACTGTTTTTGACTCCCATGCACACACCAAAGCTCATGCGCTCTCTCGCGTTTTTTCGCGTGTGTGTTATTCCTACCCGTGTATCTTGTCCAATCCTGTTGTGGACGACAGGTATATTGGACAGATTAGGATCCATGCGGACAAGACTAATTCAAATGATATCGAGAATCAATCCCGAGAAGCTTTCCGAGAACCATGGGGACTCCGGAGACCACTGATGGAAACATGGACCATTCACGTGTCGCTTGCTACTTTGAGCGGGCGGTCCACTTGTGGCACGACCCTGCCCGTTCTATTTATTCTGGACCCTCTCTCCTTGGCCAAAACACCACCGGAGGACACCGCATCACATTGACACCGCCGTGTACCCTTACATTGCCGGACTCTCGACTTGCCCTACGACGAGCCAACGATAAACGCTCCTACATCACCCGCCGTTCGGGCCGCCACACCTGCGACGCTACGCGCGGCCCGCCAAAGAGAATCTCGATTCCGTAACGCCGCGTACGCGGCCAGGCCGGCTGCGCCTGCCCGCACCGCCAGTTGCACACGAGCTTCCGGCGTCCAGTCCGAGACATCTGAGAAGAACTTCTGCAAGGGGCTCTGCTGCTGTTGCCGTTGTTGACGACAAAACGCTGCACCTAGTGCGTCTGGAGACGAAAGGTTTTCTAATCGTGTGCGTCGGTCGCGTTGTGGCCCTCCCGCAGTTTCTTCTCTGCAATCCCCCCGATACGACGAATGTAGAGGGCCGCCACGACCGCAAGGGCTGCGACTGCGAGCGGGCGTGTTGCTCGCATTCCCCGTCGCTCCTTCTCCGGCTAGCGCACCTGACTCCCTTTCTCTCTCTGACGCGGATTGTTCGCAGGCTTTCAGAAGTTGGCTCTTGTCCTTCGGGCTGAGGTAGTCGTCGCTCGAAACAAGTGCTACGGCTTCGGTGAACTCTCCGCAAGGAACCAGTATCTGGACGACCAGCATCTCCGTCGCTTCCGAGTAGTTCGCCAACGCTTGTGTTACAGCTCGACTGTCTGCCCTCTGGAAGTCGCTGTTGTTGGCGGTTACCGTGGGCGTGCAGCGCCGCACTTCTTCACCAAGTACCGCCCGTAGTTGCGAAAGGTTTTTTCGAACAAGCTCCAACTCTCCTCCTGCTAGCCGCAAACGCAGCCTGAGGTGGGGTACAACATGTTTCGGGCCAAAGCGAGGACCCGCATGGGAAAGCGAAGGTTGAGGATCGAGATTACTGCTGAAAGCAAGAAATGTACACGTGGGGTAAATCTCAGCAGCAGGGGCAGCAGCACCGGCAGCAGGAGCAGCAGGAGCAGCAGCAGCAGCAGCAGCAGCAGCGCGACAAGCACTATTGAATTGAAGTACATGTAGTGACTTTTCATTGATCAGCACCAGATCGTCCTAGCACAGACAAAAAGCGCATAGTCAAGCTACTCACCAGAGAATAGCAACGGCAAAGGGTACTGCGCGGGTTGTGCCGTAGAAAGCTCGACATCGTGCCCACTCCTCTGTTCGCTGGAGCTCAAAGCCGCACTGAAGTAACACCGCCACAATGAGGTCGGAGGTGCCACATTCTCCTACAGGCGCAATAACGTGGTCGCCAATGGCCACCACCAGAGCCGAACCAGCTGAATCATGGCTGCCACTGGAGGTGGTGGCGGTCGAGCTGGTGCTGGTGCTACTGAAGTTGCTGTTGGGCGATGTGTAGCTTGAATCTTCACTCAACGCGGTACTACAGATCGTTGCCGCTTCGGTAAAACGGCAAGACACAAACAATTCCTCCGCTAGGTCGAGCTTCGCCTCTTGGTCGATATCATCAACATCCAGGGTCTCCCTACAGTTCTCTGCTCGTTTCGCCACCTGGACCATCCTTTCCTCTCATGTTTGGTCCCAGCCAAGCTCGCTGGAGATGGCGAGTTCTGTAGAGAGACGAGGACCGACAGGCAGCTTGCAGCAGGGGACGCGGTGCATTTCCCCCCGTTCCTCATGGGCTGTTCTCGTCCGTTTTCTCTGCTGTGGCGTCCCCGTCTTTGCCTGCTGCCTGTCTCCCTCTCTCTCGCAGGTGCACTACACGTCCCCTTTGGCACGGTTGTTGTATTACTCTCCCGGCGTCGGAGGTCAGAGGGTCAAAGGTCACACCTTGGTCGAGATCCTTTGTCGACGAGCCATATAGTTGACAGTCCTGCCGCCAGAGCACACCCTGAGCAGCACATTCACAGCTGTAGTCTGGCGAGCGAATCTTTGCGGCGTGGGCTCGTATACCCCAAAGCTAGGAATTTGACGTCTAGGCATCTATGAGATGGGCGGCGATCGCGGTCTCCCCTCTGGTGCGTCTGGGAGACAACCAACTGCCACGTTTGCTCTCTCGTACGGTTCCAAGCAAGCGTGCACGAGCCTCCATGTCGTCTTCGACAACAGCGGCAACGGCGAGAACGGCTGTGGATGTTGTCGGCGTGCGGAATGAGATGGCATGGGAGGGTACAGAACCATGTGTCGCTCATTTCAACGCCGCGGGAGACTCACCCATGCCGCAAACAGTGCTGGAGAGGGTTCAGACACACATGCAGATGGAGGCTACGCTAGGAGGTTACGAGGCTGCGGCCAATGTCCAGGACGAGCTCGAGGCTGTGTATGATAATGCTGCCAAGTTGATCAACGCGCACCCCGACGAGATTGCTTTACAGGTGTGATATGTGTGCGTATTGGTTGTTTGAATCTGTAACGGTGTTATCTGCAAGCAGATGCAGAGGTCGACGCTCCTCGAGGCGCCCGGCTGTGCCCGGCTCGGTGACGAATAACTGTATAAGCAACGCGTGCCACGGCTACCGGTGGTGACTCTATGGGTGACCCCGCACTCTCACGTTTGAATCGTGCGCATGTGGTGCCGCGGTCAAGTACACATTGTTTTGAAGCGTCTTTTGCAGCAAACTGAAACCCGTCACGTTGGCAATGGAGTGCCCCACTGTGTCCATAGCAACCTGTTGTATGTTGACAGACCAAGAGAGAGGTGAACGGGTGACTTACAGCAAAATGCATCCATCTTGGTCGATTATCGTATTTAGTGATTTAGTAATGTTGTTTTTCTTCATTTGTTCCCGGCGTTGTCCCTGATCTTTAATCTACTATCGTAATCCAAGCGCGTGCACATGTGGCCAATCGGCTCCAAACAGTCCTAGTTGCGACATGTGACACTGTATCCATACGTCAATGCCGTTTGATGTGTGCAGGAGAGCGCAAGCATGGCCTGGGCCAGAGCTTTCTATGCTGTGGCGCAAGGTCTAGCCCCTGGTGACCGTATCGTCACTTGCATGGTGGAATACGGCGCAAATTACGTTGCAATGCTTCAGGTGATTTTTGGCGTTCTTTCACAACAGCAGAGATAGCTATTGCGCGGAAAACGGAAGCATCATGGAGAATTAGCTCATTTATCCCCCCTGGACCTTGCAAGCTTTGGTATCGTGAGACCCGCATTGCCGTAGATAAAGTCAAGTCGATGACCGAGCAGATTTTCTCAATGTCTTTCGATATGCAGCCGATCAATGGGCTTGCGTCTGGTCCGGCCGGCCTCACTGCAGAACGTCATGATTCCGCCGTTCACAGAAGTGCCCGACACCTGTGCCTCGTACCTGACAAAGCTCAACTATTCCGACACCATGTAGGCATGCAAGCGGACCGGCGCCGTAGTTGAGGTTATACCTTCAAACGAGTCTGGAGAGTTAGACGTTGTGGCTTTGGAGGAGATACTGGCTGGAGGAGAGGTCAAGGTTGTTGCCATCACGCACGTGCCAACAAATGGAGGAGTGGTAAATCCGGCAAAAGCAGGTGCGGACGCAATGATTTCGCAGTAGCAGGAATCCTCGCACCTTCGAACCAAACGCCGCTGATACGTTTTTCGAATCCGCCCAGACGTTTCAAGTGCGTACCGTAGGTTTCCCCTCATTCTCCGGTGCAATCAGGGCAGCTGTGTGTACCGGTGCACTTGCAAAATGATAGGCACTTTGCGGGAGTAAGATGTGCGGCTGTGACTGCGAACAACATGCGACGGCCGACACGGAAGTGACTTGTCCAAATTCTAACAGAAATGCTGCCCGTAACCAAAACTTTTTGCACGTGTACCGAAGTGGGTGATGTCTGCCGGCGGTTCGGGGTGCTCTACATTTTGGACGCATGCCAGTCCGTGGGACAGCTGCAAGTGGACGTTGAAGACATAGGGTGTCAAGTGCTCTGCGCAACGGGTCGAAAGTTCCTAAGAGGTCCTCGCGGCACGGGGTTTCTGTACATTTCACGAGGTGAGAAGGCTGGCGAGGAAGGAACGAAGGCGCGTGTTCGGGCGGGCACCCCGCGGAACGGACACTTGATACGCGGAGCTGACGTTATCGATTGCGTTGGCGCAGAGGTGGAACGTTGAACGTATCTCCCCTTTTCCTTACACCTCAAACAGTTGCCTCGTGACCCTGAAGCAGGATGCACGCATTCCTTGAAGCTGTTGCCCTCGAAAAGGCACCGCATGTTCGCCATGTGTCGATACGCATCTGTTTCGCTCGAGGATTCCACCACCTGCTCCACTTTACAGTCCTTGCCATACCCTACTGGTTTACTTTCCCTCCACCACAGAGGCGATGGCCACAATCGGTGAGCCCCCGATGATCGACCACTATGCAGCACCTTGGGTGGAAACCGAGCGATACGAGCTGCGTCCCGACGCGAGAAGGTGATGCGTCGGGTGGATTAAGTGCCGCGCCGTCAAGATTCGCTGAGCTAGAAGAACATAAGTACCCGCACGCAAGAAAATGGGCGTCCCAGTGACACGTGAAATGTGTCCTGTCGTTCCTAGGTGTCAGACGATACTCTCGCCATTTCTGGAGACGCAACGAGCATGTAGAACACCACCACGGGTAGTGTACACCATTCCTTTCGTTTCCTTCCACCATCTTTTCCGGCTGACGGCGACAGGTTCGAGTTCTGGGAGTCAAATGTCGCGGGGCGACTCGGACTAGGGGTGGCAATCCGCTACGCAATGGACATAGGTATGGAGTTGATCGAGGAACGCATCCGCCAGCTGGCCGCCTCGCTCCGCGAACGGCTCAAAATCGAGCCGGGAGTTTCCCTCTTGGATCTGGGAAGAGCCGAGAACCAATGCGGCATCGTGTCGTTTGCGGTGCCCGGGGTGGACCCGAGCGATATCAAGCAAAAGTTACGGCTGGAACAAGTGTTCGTTTCGACATCCAGTGCCGGAAGCACGCCTCTCGATGCTGAAGACAGGGCTCTGCCAACCGTGGTGAGCTGAGCGGGAATATGTTGATACGATTAGAAGGTAAATCCATGTAAGTCTCGGGGACGGGAAGACGGGAGGAGGAGAGCTTCAAGGTTTTCGCTATCGTGTGATGATGGAGCTCATATGATCTATGTCAAAATGCACCCGCCAGTGAGTTGTGGTGGCTTGCTTTCTGTGGCAACAGCATGTTCTTGTTTCCGGAGGGCGTTGGGGGTAGTGCGACTGCTGTGAATGCCAGCCCCTGCAACTTAAGCCGCGGCTTTTCCCTTTTCCTGTTGCTGATCTGCAGGTGAGAGCGAGCGTCCACTACTTCAACAACGATGGAGATTTAGACAGACTCATGTCGGTGTTACACGATGTCATCCAAGCCGCCCCACGATAAAACGGCAGCGCGTTTTGTGTGCCCGGGTGGTAGTAGGAGTGCACAGCAGCGCAGCACCAAGTGGGCGCAAGCTTCACAAGCACGCCCCACATGCACAAAAGTTGAAGTTGCTGCTCCTTCCCAGTCCCTTCCAAGTTTTCGTGGGGATGTGTTGGTGTGCTGGGGTCTGATTGGACGTGCTCGTTTTATGGCTAACGGTGCGTTACTTCTCTGCAGTTCCTATAGGGGACCTTGGAACGACCTTCAAAGGAAGTAGTTCAAGCCATTTAAGCAACATCGCGGTGGACAACAGGGCGACTGCTTCGTTTGTGCCGAAACCACCAAAACGCTTGAATAGATTGGATGCGTCTAGCCGCCAGTTCCCTTTGCGATTTGAACTTCGAGGCAACACTTTACTTATAGATGCTGAGGGCTTCATGCCTATTTCGAGGTACCTGTAACATTTCCGCCTGCGGGTTGCATGGAAGCCCAACTGTTGCTAAATTCTGCGTGCTACACGATGCAGTTGCACGACTCGCGCGTGATCGTGACCCAACCTTCAGCAGCATAAAAACAAATCAGCGGGCGTCACCACCACTTACAACATATCAAACCCATGGAAGGACGCAAGAGAGAGCGTGTTCGCGATGATGTTACCGCATATCATTCCAAAAGAAATACCGACAACAAAACGTCGGAAATTGTAAATGTATACAAATCCCGAATGCCTCAAAGACCACGTGTGGCCAATGACTGAAACGGCGAGCCTGTCAGCAATCGGGACGAAACGTGCACACTGAACAGGCTCAACTGAAAACTCTAATATCTAGGACCCGCTAAAGGCTGCACCCCGAAGGTCTAACGCCGCCCCATGTAGCCCACAACGAGCGCTCGGGGCCTATGTGCACCCATGCCACATCCGTTGCACATTCAAGATCCATCATTTGCTGGACCCTCATAAAAGACAAGTCGAACAAGAAGGCCTCTACCTCTACTCTAGGAAAGAGAAGAGACACCGCTGCCTCCTGGCCCGATTTTCAAAGCTCGATTCTGTGGCGGTGCCGAAAACGCAGGCGTTGGCATCGCCTCGTGACATGTCATTTTGTTCAACTTGGTTAGACTGTACATTTACAACAGCGTTGTTTCGTCGAAAAAGCGCGATATGACAACACGCTTCCATACCCCATCTCCCGCGGCGTGCCATCTCGCGAGGGGACGCTAGGGATATCATGCCGAAAGGGTCCACCGTCTGCTGCGCCTTGCGCTCCTTCGCTCGCTGCTACTTCCGTCCCACGATGCCACCCGCGAGAGAGTCCGCGCTGTGCCGCGCGTCCGGCGTACAGTGCACTCTAATTATATATTGAAAGATATCAGCGTTGCCCACCATTTCCTCGTAGTGTCTAGCCGCGCCCTTTTTGCCCGCTTCGAAGTGGTAGCCGCCCGGCCCTTGAACGCGAAAAACGCAGGAATGAGAGGAGGGGCGGGGGGCCTCAGACCTACACTTGAGATACGTCGCTATTTTCCTGCTGCTGCAAGAATCATATCCCTGTATATATCAGGGTAGGACGTAGAATGCAGAACTGGGTCGCGGACCGCCCGGCCTCAAAGCTTGGTGGGGGGGGGTGTACTCATAGTCGTGCATACCGAGTCGTTAGACCATTGACCTAGCGTCCCTACAAAGAAGGGACGGAGCACGACGGGTTCTCACCGGACCTGGCTCTCACATCACCAAGCGCGAAGCACCGTGAGGTATTCGGCGAGTCGCATGGAGGGCGCGCTGCATCCTGCTACGGGTGTTCGGCATCTTGTGCTTACTTCCTTGCGTACGGATAACAGCCGCGTATGAGTTGTAACAGTCTGCTTTCTGGTGCCTTCACTTCCAGGGACACCTGTAAGCACCGTGTAACTGCCTCGAGGGTGCTTGACCAATTCAACACAACGTGGTGTGATCATTCCCTTTGCGCGGGGTGATCGTTCTCGACCCCACACAACATAATCTACTCGATCACCATTGTGGTTACCGCAAAAAAAAAAACAGAGGCAAAACAAAAGCGGTAATGACCTGGTTGCCAAGCTCACGAAGGAATCGGCTTATTTTACAACGTCATTGCCAGCGACGAAACCCCAACCCCGATGGCAAACACCGAGGGGGGGGGGGCATCAGCTACTTGTGTACCACCGCTGATAAGGGTGGAATACGCTCCATGCCGCCTGGGGAATTCACGGGGCAGTAACTCTTGTTTTCTGCACAGCCGTGCAACTACGGGAGCAAAGCTAGGCGCCGACAGGTGCCGCTTTCGGAAAAGCTTTCCACGAGCAACCCCCCCCCCGAATACGTGCACATTGCTAGGACATCACTCGCTCTATTTCGACGAACTCCGAGAACAAGAACAGCTCTACACCTACCGCCCTTGTGGCTGACCTACAGAACCAAGATTTTGAGGTATAGCTTCCGTGGCTGGTTTTGACGTCACTTAACCTGCCGGAAGGTAGGACTTGTGACCAACGGGATGCCTACTTGCTGGTTGAGGACGACCAGGAGAAACAACAGCATCAACAACAGCTGATAACATCGCCATGACAACACCGTCCGAGCACACCGCCGCACCTGCTTCTGGACAGCGAGGAGGTGTTCCGGAGCGCCGACGATAGTCTGGGACTGGAACATTCGGAGGTTCGAACGTGCGTGCGGCGTGACCTGAGTATATTCATCAACCAAGGTGCGGCAGGCAGGATTGCAGCAGACAGCACAACGTCACATCCCTGCATCAGACAAACAACAAGATACACACCAAACGCCCCGTACTCGAGGAAACGCGCCGACCGGTCCTGCAGTGCGTTTTCTGGTGGAAATCTTACCTTCGGAGCAATACTCTTTCTCGGTCCAGATTTGCTCCTTGAGGAAGGTGTTTAGTGCGAATGGAAACACGCAGATCTTACGCGTGGTTGTGTTTTCACCACCTGGCCTCACGACTATTACGAGACACGTTCCCCATGGAAGGATGGTCCCAACAAACCACATAAAATCTACCTGAGAGCAAAGTTAAACGCAGTATAACGAAAACCAAGCGCTGGGGGCAAAAAGAGTACTCCTAAAAAAAACATGGAATGATCATTATTACCAACAACAATGAGGTTTGCGTGAGTTGTTGCTTGGACACCACAACAGTTGCCGTCAAAGATACCGTATATGACACAAGATAACACACCCCCTTGACCGATTTTCGAAGCTCGATTTCTAAACCGCAGGAACAGTCACAGCGCCGAAAACGGCGGCGTTGAAACCGTCTCGTCAAGAGCTTTCCGAAAATATATCATTTCGTTCATGCATCCTCTTCGTCGTGGAGTAATCGAGCTTTGAAAATCGGTCCACGGGGTGTGTTATCTTGTGTCACATACGGTACGCGACGCCTGTCACACTTGTCGTAACTCACCCATAGAAGTTTTTCCCCTGTCTTGTTGTTCCAGTGACTGCTATCGCATTCAGCTTACTGTAGCCAGCTTCTTCCTCGTCCTCACACCTGCAACATACATAACAGAGTATTTTCGTATTTTCAGTAGTGGCAGGCCGTCGCACGATGCCTTGTGCATGAAGCGTGCCTACAGGACACTCCCAAGTGTGCACAAACCTTTCTCGCACACGTTCCAGGCAGTGCCGAGTTCTGAATGTGTCTTGGTGGCTTACCCCAAGCTTCTCCGTGCGGATTTTTAGGGTCCGTTCCAATAGCGGAACTGCCTCCGCGTACTTCTCCTGTGAACCATTCAGGTGCAGCGATGAGAAAACAAATCGAGTGCGCCAAACCGCATGTACGAAGACTGGGGTAAACACATCGATTGTTTCACCAGGTAGCATATATTGGTGGCAGCAGTGGTGGAAAGCGATCGCGCACAGGGCATCCATCACGTTTTGTGTCTTCGCAAAAACTGACAACTGTTGCACCTTTTGCCCTCGACAAGCCCGCTGACGCAATCTAACTCGCGGTAGAACAATAAAGAATCTAAACTGCTTCGCCAACGTCCAGGGGAACACAGTGGTCAAAACCGTAAACTTTCTCATCGCTAGCCAGCGACCGCCTGTAAAGAGGTTCCGCCTTCTCATGATTGCCCCGGAACGTGACGGGAACAAAGAGGGACTTGTCCCGTGATGCTGTACGCATAATTGCGAGAGTAGGGTATTACAGGCCCCCAACATTCCCTCCAACGGCTTGTGACCGTACATAGAGTGGCTCTGTCTCAGCGCACTTGACATGACATGTGGTGAACGGGCGCGGCAGGGAGCCAGACGTAATTCAATACTTCCTCTGTGTCATAAGTTAGGGTACCTAAATGCAATAGATTGTCTGGGTGCAACCGTGTT